AGTGGATGAGGGGAGGGTTGGGAAGGAGGTGGTACCCTTAGCATCAGCTGAGACGGAGGAGGAGGTGCCAGCACTGAAGAGGAAGGGTTGGGAGGAGAGGAGGGCGCTGCAGAAGAAGCAGAAGGTGGTGGAGGAAAAGGGGAGTGGGGTGCCTGAGTTCGTACCTCAGCCTCCTCCTGTTGAGCTGGACCCCGAGCTCAGACAGTTGCAGGAGGGGGCTGAGGTATGGGCTCCTGGTAAGGGGAAGGGCCCTGTTTCCCCTGCGGTGCCTCAGAGCAGCCTGTTCGAGGCAAAGAACATGATGAGGGCTAGGTGGTTCATCAACAGCACCTTCCCCGAGGTGGACAAGCGCCATGCGCGGGAGGAAGCTCTGATGTGCTGGGGAGCATCTGTTGTGAAGCACGTCCTTGAGGTATGTTAAATTAGTGCTGTTGTTTATTTATTCTGTTTGTTCTTCTGTTCTTTCTCTTTGAATTTCTGCTTTGATTTGCAGAGCGCGAGCTGGGTGAATGGTCTAGCCCAGGAGTTCAGGGATAGTGTCAAGGAGCGTGCACTCTTGTAGAGGCAGTGTGACCAGCTGCAGAAGAAGGAGGAACTGGAGAAGAAAAACAAAGATCTGCAAGAGTCGCTGGACGAGGTGGTTCCAACTGTGAAGCAGTTGGAACAGGAGAGGTCGTCCCTGGGCACCAAGCTCGGCTTTGAAGAGACGAAGCGAAAGATCTCTGAAAGCGAGCGTGAGGCTCTGGCACAAGAATTAAAGCTGACGAAGGAGGCCTTCTTGGAGCTGAAGCGGAATGTGCAGACCTTGGTGCACAATGGGATGAAGGAGCACATTAGCAACTTCATCAGCTCCAGCTCGTTTGACAACATCGTCAACCTATACCGGCTGCCTATTGCCATCATCGCGTTTACGGACTGCAGGAAGAAGGTGAAGGCAGAATATCCCGAAGTGGATATTACGAAGATCACCTTCGGAGAGCAAGAAGAAGGAGTGGAGGAAGATGGGGAGAGCATGTCAGCAGACTTTCGTCCTCAGATTAAACTGAGGTGGGAGGATGATGCAAACGGACGTGCTGTTTTCCCTCCACAGTTCGACTTCGAGTTCGTGGCAGTGGAGGAAGAAGGGGCAGAGGTAGAGGTGGACGATGTGGAGGCAGGAGTGGAGGGAGCTGAAGTGGATGAGAATCAACCAGTTCCAGAAGTGGAGATTCATCCAATTCCCTCTGACGATGAGCAGCCTCCTCTGCCAGACGAGCAGCAGCCAGCACAGCCACCTCTTCCAGCTGAAGAAGAGCCAATGGAGCCACCTCTTTCAGCAGAGAATTAATTTTGTTTGTTTTTTGATTTTTTTGTAAAGACATGTGATCAATTTGTAGTAGTTATATTTTCTTAATGAAAGTTCATTTTTGAAATAATGTGTTTACTTGCATTCATCTTTTTGTTATTATAAATTGATAGGAGAACTGAGACTACCTTTAAGAAGGAAAGTTTATAGAAAAAAAGTTAACCACTTCGGAAACAAACTCCAGGGAAGTAAACCACTTCAAGTGAATTAATAACAAGTATATCACTGTAAATGAATTGAGGGGAGATAAA